GCAGGTTAAAGCACAGCACTGAGAAGCTAAAGCCACTTCAGCATGAGTTCCATTCCCACCCCGGAGGTGACCCACATGGCGCAGCAGAACTTTAATGACCCTCCCACTGCTCCCCTCAGCAGTGTACTTCGTCAATTCTGCCTGTTCTGCTTCCCACTCTGACTCTGGTGAATCCTCTCACCACCCCTACACCTCTGTACTCTAATTCTGTATATATAAATAAATAAATCTTTTTTAAAAATAGAAAACAAAAAGAAACAACAAAGTCAAAGGCCAATAGAACAGAGGAAATATTAAAATTTAGAGCAGAAATATATGAAATAGAAAAAAAAAGTAGAGTCCAAATAATTAATGAAAACAAAAGCTAATTCTTCAGAAAAGAAAAAAAAAGACAAACCTCTAGCTAGGCTCAAAAAGAAAAAAAGTGAGGGCCCTCCTTTGTGGCACAGTTGGTCAAAGCACAGCACTGAGAAGCTAAAGCCAGTTCTGCATAAGTTCAATTCCCGTCTGCCCCGGAGGTGACCACATGGCGTGGCAGACCTCTCCTGACCCGCCCGCTGCTCCCCTCAGCAGTGTACTTCGTCGATCTGCCTGTTCTGCTCCCCACTCTGTCTCTGGTGAAGCCTCTCTCTGCCCCTGAGCCTCTGGCCTGTACCTCAGTTCTGTATACATAAATAAATAAATCTTTTAAAAAAATAAAAATAAAAATAAATAAAATTTAAAAAATTAAAAAAGAAAAAAGTGAGAAAACACTAATAAATAGAATCAAGTGAAAGAGCAGCAGTAACAACAGACATCTTGGAAATACAGAAATTCCTAAGAGATTACCTCAAATATCTGTATGCCAATAACCAGAATTATCGAGAAATTTTTGGATAAATTATTTCTGAGACTGAGTCAGGAAGAAATAGGAAACCTGCACAAACCAATAAAAACAAGGAAATTGAAACAGTAATCAAAAGTCCAGGACCAGTTTCAGTAGTGAGTTCTACCAAGCTTTTGTTGATGACACAATACATGTACCTCTCAGATTCCTCCCCCCAAAATGAGGAAGACAGAATGCTTCCAAATAAATTTTATGAGGTCAGCATTACTTGATACAGAAAGCAGACAGATATCACAAAAAAGAGAACTACACACCAGGGCTCTGAGAAATCTATTACATACTTAGCTGACTAAATTTGGACACCGTGAGCCAGTTGCTGCTGCATCCCTCTTTGGAAGTGTTACTTTCTCCTGAGTCTGAATTCCTCAAACCACTTTGAGAGCAGGTGTTGACTGTTATGACCTGGAGAGAAAGACACTAGTTGGAACACAGTAAGATTAATCTGAAAGCATTTTGAGTCACATTAATTGAGGCACCATGATGAAGAGCAGTTCTTTCGTGTTTCACTGGGGAACTTACTGTAGTGCAGTCACATGTTGGAACACAACAATGCACACTTGGCTCCTGAAACTTATGATGCTATGATGCAATGCTACTTTAACTTAAATAAATAGGTAGATAATTAATGAATTAATATAGTGGGCTTCCCTGATGGAACAGTGGTTCAAGTCCCAGTGCTGTCAAGCTAGCGCAAGCCAGTGCAACACATGAGTTTAACCCCTGACCAGGGAGCTGAACCACATGGCACAATAGAACTCTCCTGTCTCACCCACTGCTCCCCTCAGCAGTGCATTTCAGTTAATCTGCCTGTTCTGCTCCCCACTCTATATCTGGTGATTCCTCTCACCCCCTGCATATCTAGCCTGTACCACAGCTCTTGTATGCATAAATAAATAAAAATAAATCTTTAAAAATTTTTTAAAGTAGTAATGGTTGCTAACGTTGACTGCAACTGGGAATTTTTAAACTCATGCTTACAGGACACATGCATCCACATGATTTTTCTACTTCTTCATGATTAAGAAAAAACATAATCAAGTTTTCCAAATGTGTATCCCAGTCATTCAGGACATGTTCAACCCCCACCATCATGGATCCTATATCAAAATCTCTGATTCAGTATGTCTTGATGAAGGGAGAATTTGATTCTCAGATTAAATACCCAGGTGATGTTAATGTAGCTGATAGGAAACCATAGTTTGAGAAGAATCACTGGTATAAAGAAAAATAGGGCAAAATAAAACATAAGGCTGTGATACAAAAGATCTGGTCCTGAAATTCTAATTCTGTCACCTAGAATTTTCTAGTTATTGGAAAAATAACAATGTCTCTGAGCCTCCATCATTAAAAAAATAAAAATAAAAATCAGGACCTCCCTGATGGCCTAAGGGGTTAAGTCTCAGCACAATCACTGTGATGGCCTGAGTTCAGTCTTAGGGAGCTAACCCTCATAGGGGGCAGCAGACCTCTGCTGCCTTGCTCGCTACCCACCCTTAGCAATATATTTCAGTAAATCCATCTGCCTGCTCCCCACTCTGCTCTGGTGAATCCTCTCACTGCTAAATATTTTCCAAGAGAGATTATTAGAACATATGTTCACACAAAAACTTTTATACAGGGCCCTCCCTGGTGGTGCAATGGGTTAAAGCACAGGACTGCAAAGCTCGCTGCTGCCGCTTCAGCACAAGTTCAATCCCCAGCCCCAGAGGTGACCCACATGGCACAGCAGACTTGTCTGTCTCGTATGCAGCTCCCATCAGCAGTATATTTCAGTTAATCTGCCTATTCTGCTTCCCACTCTGCCTCTGGAGAAACCTCTCACCATCCCTGCACCTCTGACCTGTAGCCCAGTTCTATGTGCATAAATTTAAAAAAATTTTTTTCTACAAATGTTGCTAACAGCTTTGTCTGGAACAGCCAATAACTGAAGGTATCCTTCAACATGTAAGTAGAAGTGAACCATAATATATCCACTTTGACAATTTTTAAGTTTGTATCTTTACTCTATCCAGTGCAATACTACTTGTTTGCATGGCATTTTATAATAAAGAGAAACCAAACTAATACAAGATACTATCTTAACATAAAAGAATATAATACACTTACTGGAACCTGTAATTCCTGTTTTTTCTTCTTTTTCTTCGATGGTTTCCTATCCTTGTTTAGCATTTTTGTTTTGATCCACATTGAATGCCCTATCTCTGAGGATTTTGAAAGATCTGTAAGGGAATGGGTTGCATGAGACATTTTGAACTGATAAATGGGAATGATTTTGTTTTACAAAAAGGACTGGAGAATGGGGAGAGTAAGCAAGCACTCAAAAGTCAATTTTTTTTTCTTCAAGTTGTAGCAATGCAAAGGATTTAGTACCATTAAAAAAAATTCTTTTGCTTCTATCCCACTCCTAGGTAACTACTTAAATGACACAAAAACACTGACTCAAAAAGATACCTGCACCCCCATGTTTACTGCTGCTTTATTTACAACTGGAAAGACATGGAATCAACCCAAATGCCCAAAAGTAGATGACTGGATTAAAAGGATGTGGTACACTGTACCAAATATACACAGTGGAATATTACTCAGCAACCAAAAAAAAAAACAATACATGCCTTTTGTAGCAACATGGATGGAGCTGGAAAAGATCATGCTTAGTGAAATAAGCCAGAAAGAAAAGGAAAAATACTGAATGGTTTCACTCATAGCAGGAGTATAAAGGACTAGGTTAGAAAATAATAATAATAATAATGAACAACTACACACCAGAGACATTTTACAGGGGTAGAGTGGGGAATGGGATCAGAAACGGGGTGGGGGGCCAGGGGGGGAGAGAGGGAGGGAGAAGTACACTGAACTATGGTGATGGCACATGGGTGATTTGGTGATGGGAAGCCCAAGGGGATTACAACTGAGATGGAAAAAGGCACAAAATGATGTAAAAATAAGCTATTATTTTTTTTTTTAAAAAAAAAGGTTTGCTTCTTACTTTTACTCTTAGGGGTCTTCAATTTCTCTTCCTTGTGGAATCTCAGACTATGACTCCTAATAAAGGGCCTGTCTCTTCGGAGAGGATTGATCCAAAAGGATGTGTTTGGTTGGAGTGCTGGTCCCATCTCTGAGCAAGCACTACTTCGGGCCAATTTTGTTGAGTTGTCAGATAGAGACCTGCCTCGGGTCTGCACCTGGCACTGTCCACTGTGACTGGACTCACTATGAGTGCAGGCTATGCAGATCTGCTGTTTTTTCTTGACACTAAACACACCAGTTTCATCACCTTCTGAAAATGCCCAGTTCACATATCCACCTCCAGTTCGCATGTTCTCAGCTTGGGAAGGCAGGGAAGTGACTTTTGTGGGTGCGGGTTTACAACTCAATGTGGGTAAAACTTGCTCCCCCTTGTCTTTTGTGTATGGTACATCAGTTAAGTGCTCTAATGGCTCCTTGTGTTCAATTGCTGATTCTTGAGCTGTGACAACTGGAATTTGCCAAATCTGATGAACTGGATTATGGGTGGCTTTTTTAATTGCCAGCTCATCTATAGCTGGCTCCACAGATGGCCTGAACATAGATGAATCAGATTCTCCAGGAAAAGGTCCTTGGTTTTGACAAGTAGGAACCAGGAGAAATTGACCATATTTTGGATGTGCTTTCTTGCTAGTGGACACCCCAGATGCAACCATACTATTTTCTGTTTCTTGTTCTTCATGGTCACCTCTTATGTTTAAAGCCTTTTTCTGACTTGCTGTTATCTCAAGAAGAGGCCCCTTCTGTACTCTTGGAGGATGCCAACCTCTAGCCAGGCTCCGAAGTAAAGAAGGAGGAGTGCTATAATACTGGTATTTCTTCTGTCCAGAGGTCTCCATGCTGTCTAGAACCTCTGCACAGATGACATTACTCCAACTGTGGGGAAGTTTCCTGCAAACAGAATGTTTTCTGTTGGCCAAGAGGACCTCATCCTCTTGTAAGGTGTCAACAGCAGAAAGGACTTTTAGTGTATCCACTGTCAGGGCAGAGAGGTCTTGCAGGTGTCCCACCTGGCTGTCCAAAGACAGTAAGGAATCCCTGATAAAAGATACTTTTTCATTCATTTCTTTCAGCTGGAAGTACATCTCTTGTACCCTAGAAGTGAGGAGGAGAAAAACCAATAAACACATTAAGTCAACAGAGATTTGCTCACTCTCTTCCTGTCTATTTCCATTTTTAGGTGGCTACTCAGCTCAAACTGCTTCCCACAGTTGGGTCTGTCATCTGTTTTCTCCTCCCTCCAATATGTATTTTCATGCCAGGATATCTCGCCCCCTCCAAAAATCCGCAGTATCACTACAAAGAGGAAAAACTACAAAGCTTATTTCCAGATTTTATTTCTCACTAATATTTCAGAACTACATTTCCAGCTACCTGCTAATTATATGGTATACTCCATCTCATCTTATTATTCATTAATATATTCATAAATGAATGTACTCATCAAGTTAGATAACAAATATTCTGTTGGCAAGTATTGTGCTATTTTTGGTAGAAAAAAAAAGAGGTTCTAGGAAGAAATCAAAAGAATAGAAATATAATCAATAGTCAAATATATCATTGGAAAAAATGTACAGATCTTTGAAAAAATCTAAGTTCAAATAGGTCTTTAGAGTTTCAAACAAAACTAATACAGAAAAACTTTATGAAAAAAAATTAAATTATCTTCAATAACCTAACTCAAAATTATGATGTCCAGCCATCAATTCATAAAAAAGTAACACACGATCCCTTCAACTCTGCAAGAAAAAAGGTAAATCACAAGTAGAATCAAATTAAAAGGCTTGATTTAATTTAGAGAATTTGAGAGAAAGAATATAAAATACTTTGATAAATATTTACATGTATACAGCTCTGTAAATATCTCTATTTGAGGATGGGGTTTGTTTTGTGTCACCCGAAAGAGATATGCTGAATTCCTAATCCACAGTATTTCCAGAATATAATCATATTAGGAAATAGGCTCTTTCCAAAGGTAGCAAGGATATATAGTAAGGCTCTCAGTGAGGCTCTTAAGCCATCAAGACTGACACTTTATAAAAAGGGACAATTTGGACACGGAGGGAAAAACAATATGAAGATTTACATGGAGACAGTTGCTGTATAACTGGAGTGATGGAATTACAAGTCAAGGAACACCAAGGATTGCCAGCAAACACCAGAAGCTGAAGTGGCAAAGAAAGATTCTCGCAATGGGCCCTGCTGATATCTTGATTCTGGACTTTAACAATGCATTTTTATTGTTAGAATTTTGATACCAGTCTTTGATACTTTGTTCTATCAGCCCTATGAAACTAACACAATTATTTAAACTTAACAATCAAAAGAATAAATTACAAATATATCAGATTTGATTAGAGAAAAAAAATTGTATTCATGAACTACACCACAAAATTTTTAAATGTAAATAAATTGGAAATTATTCTAACAAATATGATAATGCCTTTTTATCCAATCATAAATCAAGAGCCTACAAATACTTTAGGAAAAAAATTGTACTAAAAGACAGTTCACTAAAGATAAAAGAGATAAGGAAGCACAGTACAAGATTCAGACTTACTAGGTAAGCAGAACAATTCAAATTATTGTAAAATGACTTCATCTACATTGTTCGAACACTTTTTAACCTAGCAAAGTTTAAAAAGATTAAAATGAATCAATGGCGGCAAGGGTGCCACCATTAGACAACATATATAAAGAGACTCCAGGTTCACTATGCTAAAGAAGATTCATATAACATAGAATATTACATACCCATTAAAAATAATGCTTATGGCCCTTCCTGGTGGCGCAGCAGGTTAAAGCACAGCACTAAAAAGCTAAAGCCACTAATGCATGAGTTCGATTCCCGCCTGCCCCCGAGGCGACCACATGGTGCGGCAGACCTCTCCTGACCCACCGGCTGCTCCCCTCAGCAGTGTGCTTCATCGATCTGCCTGTTCTGCTCCCCACTCTGTCTCTGGTGAAGGCTCTTGCCGCCCCTGAGCCTCTGGCCTGTACCCCAGTTCTGTATGCACAAATAAATAAATCTTTTAAAAAAAATAATGCTTATATTGATGACAGTAATTTCTCTGACTGTTTCTGGTAGCAGGGGCTAGTATTTGAATATCTGTTCTGGTCTACATTATATATTTTTAAATAAGATGTAAAACCCTGCAAATAAGGATATTTACAAAGATTGGTTTTGTAAACCAATCTGAAAAAATATTCTTGATGTGAAAGGTGGGAAAAGAATATATAAGCTTGTATAATTTTAACTAAAATTTTATAGAACATTAAACCAAAATTTTTCCAATGGACTCTGGCTTATATCACAGCTTCCTTTGTTTACTTCCCCAGTTTTAGTCTTTCACTGGAGAAGGGGAGATATTTTTCAATTTCTCAAAATATAAGTCTTGATAAAGAGAAATAAAGTGGGAAAACAGCAAATCAACAGTTTTGTGACTAATACAACCATATGAAAAATAAAAAAGATACCTAGTCTTGTTAAGGGTGCAAGAAGTAGGGTTTATACTATTAAGATTTTTAGCTCTCAGTTGTACCAAACAAGCCCCCAAATAGATTAAGACATCTCCTCTCTGGAAAATATTTCAAATCACAGGATTGAGAAATCGTTCACTTCTTTTTCATAGGGAGCTTTGCAAATAGAATTAAGGGATAAAGAGATATTTTCCAATTTGATTACACTTTTGTGTGTGGGACCCTCTCTTTCTTGCTTGTGCTATAGAATTCAACTCCTATATAACAGAGGTTTAATAAATGCTTCCTGACTTTCTGGAACCTATAAAACTACAATTGACAGGATACATGTATATTCCCTTACAAATGTGCTTAATTAGAGCCTCTCCAACTAGTGCACTGTTTCATCCAATCTGAAAACAGGACGGTCTGAACAGCAGTAATGGAGACTCATTAAGTTCCATTAGCAGCAGTCATATCCAAACGGATACAAAAGAAAGCAGCGACTATTCACAGCAACAGGTAACATGCTATAATAGTGATAAGTAACCTGATCGCCCTCAAATCCAGTCCTCTTCACTTTATAGACACTTATTTCTAAAACTAAAAGTCTTATGAAACATTTTAATTATAGTCCTCAACCAAAAACTATATTAATTTTTTTTAAAGATTTATTTATTTGTACATACAGAACTGGGGTACAGGCCAGAGGCTCAGGGCGGTGAGAGGCTTCACCAGAGACAGAGTGGGGAGCAGAACAGGCAGGTCTACGAAGTACACTGCTGAGGAGAGCAGTGGGCAGACCAGGAGAGTTCTGCCACACCATATGGTCACCTCCGGGGCAGGGGGGAATCGAACTCATGCGGAAGTGGCTTTAGCTTCTCAGTGCAGTGCTTTAACCTGCTGCGCCACCAGGGAGGGCCAAAAGCTATATTAATTTAACTAGCCTTTCGATAGATTCTTATCATTTTAGTTTCCTCTGTGCAATATTTAAGGGTGAAAGGGAACCGATATGAATATTTTTTTATTGTGTGTCTTTGGATATTTTTAAATGTCATTATAATAAAAATAATCATTCTGCTCATCATAATTGCTAAATATTTGTTATGATCATATATCTGTATTTTAGAAAGGACCTACATTATTATTATTATATTTAATCCACAAAACAACCTTGTAAGGTAGAGGCTATTAGGATATATTTCATTAAAAAGTCACACATCAGTGATAATGAAGCCTCAAACATTATGATCTTATAATCAGTGGCATGAACCACTGAACTCCAGCTCCACTCAGCAACTCCTAAGGGATCTAGGCGAAGTTCTTTTGGGACTCATAGAAGCCCCAAGAAGTACTAAATGAATTACACAAACACTTCTATGCTGGGAGGTGTTCACAAATGTTCCTCAACAAGTCTTCAGGACCAAGTAATGACAGCACCTGCTTACATGACAACTCTCTCCTGAGTCACATGCACATGATGTTAAAAGGTTTAAACTGGGGCCCTCCCTGATGGTGCAGCAAATTGAAGCACAGCACTAAGAAGCTAAAACCACGTCAACATCAGTTCAATCCCCACCCTGCGAGGTGACCCACCTGGTGTGGCAGATCTCTCCTGGCCCACCCACTGCTCCTCTCAGCAGTGTACTTCATTGATCTGCCTGGTCTGTTCCCTACTCTGTATCAGGTGAATCCTCTCACTTCCGCTGCACCTCTGGCCTCTAACCCAGTTCTGTATGCATAAATAAATACATCTTAGGAAAAAAAAATCTAAACTGTCTCCTAAATTGCAGCACTTCTGAAACAGAAAGAATGTACCCACACATGTTCACTTTTGCCAGCACATCTTTTCTTCAAACCTCTGAAAGTCCACACTACATCTCCCCATGCTCCTCAATATCATGATACCCATAAGCCTTCCAATACCCAAGCTTCGTTTTCTTGTGCTCTGGCTATATTCCCTCCTTAAATCTTGCTTGAGGAGAAAGCTGAGCCCCTCCATAAATCTGCCTCCTTGGAGAACTTCCCTTCAGCAAATCACCTCCTCTCTCCTGCTCCTGCAATTTCTTTCTTGCTCATACTCATTTCCAGGCAGTAAAACGTGTCACAAAAACATGTCTGCACTTGCACTAACTGACTCCACTTTTATTCACTCTTCCCTACTTCAGTGAGGCCCCATCAACTCCACTGCCCACAAACTCCCAAAGCAACTAACATGCCGCACTCAACCTCCTGGACACACTCACTGCCTCAGGTGACTACGCTGGCTCTTTCTTCTGCCAGGTGTGCCACCCAACCAGAAGTCTCTGCCTAACCCGTCTCTCCCACCCTCTTTGGATTATTCTTCCTCACATCCCTCAGAGCAACCTTTCTGTACCAGGCTCCTCTAACAGTCCAAATCTACCTCAACACTCTCTAGTTCCTTACTACCATCATTTTTTTATACTTGCATACTTCTTTCTTTTTCTTCATTGATCCTTCAGTACCAAACATCTTTTATATGGTTTCTGATTTAATTTTTGATCTTCCCCACCTCACCCCTCCACATCCACCTACTAAACTGTAAGTCCTATAAAGAGAGGTACTCTCATGACTTATTGGCCATTGATCTCTAGTAACTAGAAGAAAGCCTAGGATATAGTAGATGCTCTACAAACATGTAATGGTTGCCTGAATATTCTGTTACTAGAGAAAATTTTAGAGAACACAAACCACTGGATTTTGAAAACAGTTGTATTGATTTAGACATTCTAGTAGAATCAGTTTTGGGTAGCAGTTTGAAGGTAGAAATTCTACCTTTCTGATGTCACTCGGATCTGTTCCTCATAACTATAATTCAGACCTTCCATCTTCTCATGGAAGTATTTTTCTACGCACTGCTCTTCAAAATCATGGAGTTTCTTCAGATCCTCTTTACTCAGGTAGAGTTCTGTAGAAATAGGAAGGCACATAAAAAGAATATTTACTTATTTGTAACAGGAAGATGATACAGTATATAAGTGGCTTTTCTACTTTGTTGAAGATTCATAAACTGTAGCACATGTGTCTGCCTGTCACACAGTGTTCCTAATATTGGTGGAGAAGCAGTACAGAAACAACTGGAAGCACCATCTGGGTCTTTTCTATTTCTTCCATAAATAGGGATGGGGATTTGAAAGTGACTCAAATTATCTTTTTTTCCTTTACTAACTGGTTTATCTATCAAAATGACAGTAAGTAACTTGTCAAAGTAGACAAATTCATATGGTAAGATAAGAAAAATTTATCTTGTTACACAGTTTATATATATACTAGGTTCTTCTATTGAAAAAGAAATTATTGCCACTCAATAAAAACTATCCACTTAATCTGATTATTTTTAACTAACTCATTAAAAGAAATAATTTCCAGACATTATGGAGCTGATACAATATCTATGTAAAACCTTAGCAGTCACATCCGCTCTTAGCTCTCACTCTGACATGACAGGAAAATACATAAGCTCTTGAGCAAGTCTCTAATACTTGGAAAATATATCAGTAGTGTTATAAAAAGGCAAAAATTGGAAAATTGTCTTCCTTCAATCATTTTACTTCAATTAGGAGGCGGGGCCGCATTAGCATTCTCCTGAATTAATTAGGAAAGTAACTATTCCATGATTTTACAACTATATGAAAGATAAAAATATTAAATTTAAAGTCCAAAAACATGACTAATGGAAAACTATATTCAAGTCACAAGAGATGTTTACTTCAAGTGCACAATGTTTTCTGATTTCATTTAATAATGTATAAGAATCTTTCAGAGGCTCAAAAAGAAAATCTAATATCCTCCCCCCAACTTAAATGTGTTTGCATTACCATTAATGAATCTTTTATATCAATAAAGTTTACATGATCACAATGTAAACTTGTGGATTCTTAAGAGTAAATACCTCAAAGAGAAACACCATAACCCATTATACAGCCTGCAGTATATGGGGTGCTCTTGGAACTTTCCACCAGGTGGCACTATTGCCCCATATGCAAACAATCTTCAACACAGAAAATTCAAGCATTTTCCTGAGTTCAGGGTGAACAAATCTCTCTACATCAGAAAATCTACCTGAATGTCATATCAGAATCACCTGTAAGCCCAAAATAAGGTGATCCCTGGAAAGGTTCGCTTTGGTACTAAGAAATCTAGCCAAACCCTAATTAATTCCAGGATGTCTCAAGTGGTTTAGTCTCTATTAGGTTGCAGTGGTTCTACAGACAGGGCCTAGATGACTCTCTATTAGAAGTCTAAAAGTTGTATTATAGTTGCAAATCTTTAATTGCAGTTGTGCTTTGGCTTCCTTAGTAAGGCTGAATCTCTTGAGAGGAAGAAGTGAAAAAGAATAATAGGGACACAAGAGGAGACACAAGAGGAGAAGAGTGTATCACATAGTGAACTAACTTACAAGAAGTAAAAGCATATCACCCTGTCCATCTTACAATGACAACTGTAGCCGATCAAATATATAGTCTATAATCCTTTATCTAACACTCCTGGTGTGTTTTGGAATTCAGAACTTTTCTAGTTTTAGAAATGTAATATTGTACATATACTATAACTGATTTATAATCCCTAGCTAGAGCTAGGGGAGACTCTAATCAAATACATCATTTCTACAGCAAAGTTGATGAGAGAGTGAGTAGCTTTACCTTAGATCTATCAGCCTCTTCAGTTCAAATGAGTCTTTCCCAGTTTAAGAAGGAAAAGACTTTCAGTCTTCAGAAATATTTTGGATTTAAGAATTACAACAAAAGGTTGTGGATTTATGCCACCCATTTTCTTTATATTTAGGAAATGTGCCACAAACCAATGATGAAATTGGTCAAGAGAAGTATTAAAGATATGTAAAACCACAGTAAATGTTCTCTTAGGACAATTATATCATGCAGTCAAGATATGGCTAGGCAAAAATAATGAGGAAAATCACTTAAGCTGATTTTCCTCTTAGTCCACAAGACCTTCTGTAACTATTGTGTATGGGTCTCTCTGACTACTCTCTAGGAGTTATTCTTCCAGTTCCTAGGTAAACAGGAAAACACAGGTTTTCCGAGGAACATAAAGCCTTTACACATCCAAGCAGAGATTTTGCCCTATGTATTTCCTTTTTCTCAAATTATCAGTTTTTGGCCAAAGATACTATGAACACATAATGAAATCAAAGCATTTATAGGACCAGATACACAGCTGATACTCTAAAGTGAGTTAACTCCCAGAGCCTTTCATCCTGTGTCTTTAATTCAACTAACAGGACTAATGCCTCTACTCTTTACTCTTTTCTTCCTGCCACATCCCCTGCGCCTCTCCCAAAAAAAAAAAAAAAAACCACACACAACAAACTTACTTAATCCAACATCACCCTCTTCTTGGTCCTTTGGAGCTCGATGATGCCAAAGTCGGCGAAGGAACAGACCAACATGGCTCAGTAGGATGAAAGGAGGGGGTAACCAAGGCTTCTCGTGGTAGGTCATGATGTAGCGATAGCGATTATATTTCCAGAGGTTATTTGAAATCGATTTCATATCGACATAAATGTTACTGTAAGTTGCAGTAAGAGGGAGACAAAGATTTAATAAGAAATTGTGATCCTAACAAATAGATATTTTATTTTCCAACTTTTATGATTGGTTCACCTGACATTACTGGCAGTTAGCCAAGAAAAATAATATCCATTGCATTTATGAGTCTTCTTTCACCAACCAAAATAATTAATCACCTTCTACAATAAAATATAATAATCAGAATAAAAAAAGCAAAATATAGAAATTACAATGAGAGAAAAGAAAATGCTAATATTTTTCATGTAATGAACAGAAACTGCACTCTGGAATTTAACACTATTCTTGATCTACCATCCTTTTTCACATAAGAACCTCATTTTTGTCCATAACTAATTCTTCATAGTAAACAGTTTTTTTTTAAAGATTTATTTATTTATGCATACAGAGCTGGGTTACAAGCCAGAGGTGTAGGGGCAGTGAGAGGATTCACCAGAGACAGAGTGGGGAGCAGAACAGGCAGATCAACAAGGTACACTGCTGAGGGGAGCAGCGGGAGGGTCTAGAGAGGTCTACCATGCCATGTGGGTCACCTCTGGGGCGGGGGAATTGAACTGGCACTGAAGCAGCTGCAACTGGCTTGCAGGGCTGCGTCCTTATCCGTTGTACCACCAGGGAGAGCCCCAGTAAACAGCTTTAATGATCTTCTATATCCTCATAGAGATCCTCCTAACGTTCATTGTAAGAAATGCTAGAACAATGCTACTTAAACTGCCCAAACTAAAGAGTATTGATGAGAAAGGAAAAGGAATAAATTCATCCTAAAAAAAATCATGGAGATTCTACTTAGAAACTCAATATATTATTTAGATTAATTTTACAAATAAAATAAGTAAATAAACCCCTGACTAGTAGCACACTTGGGATTTTCCCTTTAATTATACCAATTACAATATGCAAATAGGACAGTTAATATTGAGGTCACAGAACTTACTATGGTTTGTGGTAGAGAAATTTTAAAACAACATATCATCCTTAAACACTTCATTTTTCTCCTATAATATGAAAAAGCGGAAGAGCACAGTGGCATGTCCATTTTATCATCATATTTAGGTTGATATAAAAATTGAAGTTTTGTAGAAAAAGATGGCAATATTTAAATGGGGTAGCCAAATTTAGTAAATAAGCTGGGATAATGATAAAGAAAAACAGAACTATTCTGGAGAAAGCTATTTTAGCTAAACAGTTAGGGAGAAGTTCCACTCAGTCCATAAAGTTGATGAAGCAAACATGTACTAACATGTACAGTGGTTCTCAAAATGTGGTCTCCGACCCACCAGCATCTGCTCACCTGAGAATGTGTCAGAAATGCAAATTCTTAGACCCTATTTCACTACCAATTTGGAAAGTCTAGCAGGGCCATTCAAATAAACTGTGCTTCAGCAAGCCTCTAGGTGATGCTCCTGAACAACTGTTTGAGAACCACCCGTTTAACATGCTATTACTATTCCAAGTGGGAATAGTACAGCCTATGACCAGCAGGTGGCAATATGCAAGTGTATTTTAAGTCCTTCAGCATTAATGCCATAAAGAGGCTACAAAGAACTCCTGGACAAATAATCAGTTCTGGAGTTTGTTAGCTTACTTGGTCCTCATCTCTAATGTGCGTTCTTCTCTAAATTGAGAAGGCTGACCAGGGTGAGGATTTTTCAACCTCTCTCTGATAGCATTTTTGCAAAACAAAAATCTCACTTTTAATTATTACTTAAACTGTTTTTAAATGACTAAAAACACTGAATACCAATAAACATTACAAGCTCATAAAATGCTGGTGCTCACAGGGATGATAGCTATCACATAACCTTGTCACAGCAAGAAGGTAAGTCCTTCCCATAGATGTGCAACAAGTCATTTTTTTGTATTTGATTTATTTTGCTTCCCTTAAACCTTTCTCATCTTTATTTAGATTCCACTGATTTTTCCTATCTTTTTCTCTTTGGTGAGATGATTAGTGAGTAAAATACTTACTACAGTGCTATGCATATAAGAGTTATGCAGAATATACTAGTTTCTCCTCACTTTGATTTATTTTATCTGTTAAACATAAAAATGCTATGCAATTTTGTCACTTAAGATAAATTCATGATCAAAATGATTGGGAAAAAATATCCCTTACAGAACCAAGATCTTTTCCAGTAGAAAAAGCAGGAAACAGAAATATATAGATAGGTAGATAGATAGATTATAAAAGACATTTGTATGTATAATAACAGTGAATATTAAGGAAAAGTAGATGACTAAGAAAAGGGGGCTACTTTTAAATATCACCCCTAGAGACTAGGCCTAAGTTTAAATTGGGAGTTTTGAGCAAAGACTTGAAGGGGATAAAAGAATGGGGAAAGACCAATCCAGGCAGAGAAATAAGTGTAAACACACCTGTATTATTTGAAAACCTGCAGTAGGTCATCTGGTTGAGAGGGATGTGTTAGGGAAAGAGTATCATGATGCGTGATTTGAGAAGTAGCAGGAAAGCCAAACCACACGTAGCCCTACAGATTATTGTAGGAGCTTTGACTTTCATCCAGAGAAAAATGAGGAAACTTTGAAGCAAAGGAGTGATATCATCTGACATGTTTGTAAAGGCTAATCAGAACAACTGTGTTGAGAACAGAAAATAGCAGTCAAAGATAGAAACAGAAAAAAAAAATAGGAGATTGTATGGTAGGGTAAGGTGGAGAGAGGTGGTTAAATTGGTGATCTGACTGAAAACAGAGTCAAGAGTTCCTGACAGTGTATAGAAAAAGGTTTATGAGAGACATTAAAATGGGTTTTGGTCTGAAGAATGGGAAAGATGAAACTTTGACAAAAAGTACAGACTTCTTCATAGATTTGAGAAAGACTACAAACAGAATAAGTAATTACTGGGAAAAAGATCAAGAGTGTGGATGTTTTAAATTTTAGAAATTATACATCTAACTAATGTTGGAAGGGTTAGCTGGACCTATAAAATTGGAGTTCAAGAAAGAAACTGGGTTGCAGATAAAATTGGGGTTTATCAGCATGTACAGGAAACTGAACAAGATCACCAAGCGAAGTGTAAATAAATGTGAATAAGGCCTGGGCTCTGGGACATTCCATTGCTAAAAAGTTGAGAGAAGATGATCCAAGTGAGGAAGCCAAGAAGTAAAAAAGTGAGCCTTAGGCAAAGGAGAATAAGCTCTAGTGGGAACCAGTTCAAGAAAGGATCTTAAGATCCCTTTAGCCAATTTAAACCCATCAACTCTATTCTCCAATAATTCTAACTTATTGCTTAATTACAATGTTTTTTTAAAGCTCCAGTCTAATATGAAGAAAAATGTGTAGTTTGCAAATAAATAACATATATTTCATTCTATGAAGTTCAATACTATTTCAAAATCAACTTTAAAGCTAAACACAAATAAAAATTTAACACAAAACTTGCTAGTTTCCTTGATTAATTAACCTTAAGACAAAGAAACAAAATTTAAAACTATAAATTAATTGCAAATTAATTTCCTATGGTAAGTATATTAACAAATGTATTCTATCTTATTTGCCATGAGTTCATTCATTCATTTGTTTGTAACTTTAATTGTATTTTGAGATAACACTGGTCATATACAACATTGTATATGATTAGGGATAAAAGTTTACACCAATTTAGATATAAGTTACCATGTCACACCCACCACCAAAGCACCCATAATCCTGTGCTGGAGGCATTGGGGCTCCCTCCCCACTTTTCTCCCCATCTGCAAACTCTCTGTCATTCTGCTTTTAGTCTATTTTCTCTTCACTTATAGTTTGTTTCTTCCTCATGTTCTGCTTCCTTCCAAGCAGTAGTTTAATGCCTGTATTTTAAAGCCTTAGTAATAAAACATGGGACTCACCAAAGATTATAAACTCAAAAAATATATGCTTCTATTCTGATTTAAACAAAATCGCCATATTTAACTTAAATACGTACTTGAAGAAAGCAATCAGCAGGTTCACCATGATGATATATTGCACAAATAGGTAGACAGCTTGGAGAAATGGAGTAAGAAAAGAACCAGGAGGGCAAGTTGACATTTTTGAGCAAACTGTAAAGACAGAATTTTAAAGGGTAAGTTATAAGGTAAATCACAATGCTGTAACTCACCAAATAATTGGCACATAATTTAACCGAATATCTTAAATTTGTGATATTTTAAGTTTATTTTCCAACCTATTTTTTACTGTAAGCATCTACAAAGATTTTATTTTTGCACCATGGCAAAATCTCCTACACACCATCTATGTCTCCAGCGTAGACTTCTCCATATATCATCCAATATGGCTCAAATACAATATCCCGAGCTAGGCTCCAAGATGGAAGCTCTTTTGGTGAAAGGATGGCCTTGCGTGCCACTCCAAAGCTCAGCAATACTATGGCCATTATGATGACAATGTAGAACATGTTTGCTGTCTGTAAAACAGTACATGACAATAAGTTTACCAAAGGCTTGAAACTTAATACAAAGCAATCACTAGTGCCATCCTAAATATACCTATGCCAATAATAAGACCAAGGCATTCACTGACCAACATGCTTTAGCCCTGAATATCTGGACTTCCTTTGGCTAAACTATTTTGTTTTCTCTGTACAAGATGTGTTTAATAATAGAATATACAAAAGATTGAGAATCTATGTTTCTTTAGAAATAATAAGCTGTGGAAACCCGTGATGGGAAACCCGTGGGGATTACAATTGGGATGGAAAAAAAAATGTACAAAATGATGTAAAAATAAACTTTTGTAATAAAAAAAAAAGAAATAATAAGCTGTAAAGAACTTTCGATTTGTTCATATCCAACTTTTCATCATTTGGAAAAGAAGAGGGAAATAAGAGTGTCTTGAAATTATTTAAATGGTTCCTTGTTTCCAGGATTATATTTAGGAATTTATCTGCATCTGAGACTTTGATAAGACAATTTCACTTCACTTACTAAATGTATTTCTTTTTTATTTTGTTAAGATTTATTTATTTATGCATACAGAACTGGGTACAAGCCAGAGGTGCAGGGGCAGTGAGCGGATTCACCAGAGACATAGTGGAGAGCAGAACAGGCAGATTGACAAAGTACACTGCTGAGGGGAACAGCAGATGAGACAGGGGAGTTCTGCTGTGCCATGTGGGACACCTCCCTGGCCAGAGATCGCACTCACAATGAAGCACTGCAGTGCCACCAGGGAAGGCCTACTAAATGAATTTCAACTCAGTCTCACTTGTTCACTGAGGTTCAGCAATTATTCTATAAATATTCCATGACCGTATCTTTATTTTTTAGCCTCCCATTCATGAGATAGGATCCTAGATGACAGAGTAATAGTGACTTGTTCACTTTTTGTCCAGAATTCTTTCCACTTCCTGCCAATGTAGAACTTGGAAGCCATTTTTGACATGGCTATGTCATATGATGTAAGGACTGTAAATGCACATACATCACCACCTATCATATGTTGCATTAGGGAGAAATAAACTGTGCTAAGTCACTGAGATGAATTGGCTACCTTAGCAGAACTTTCTAATTAATACCATTGACACCAAGACCAGAGAAAATACTGCTAGTCCAAGAGAAATACAAAATATGAAAAATGTTTTCTGAGGCCTGGAGGTTCTCCATTTTCTGTTCTCTTCCTTGGTCTCAGCAATACTCTTTTTTTGTTTTTTTTCCTCAAAAACTTGTCCCTTCACAGTCAGTGTGTATTCTAGAAAGAAAAGCCAAGATGACTTTGAAAGGCTGCAATTCCTAGACAGTAGGTCTTAGGTCTTTGTGTGAAGTCAATTTGGACAAAGTTAACACAACTACACCAGGAGCGCAGATAACAGAGCCAAGTGGCCCATACTTCAATCCTGGCTTCCCTTATTATGCCCTGGGGGATCTTCCTAATTTTGTATGTCAAATATGGCTAATAATAATAGCCCCTATCTAATAAATTTGTTTTAAAGAATAAATGGATTAATATACACAAAGTACTTGAGGCAGTCTGCGGCTCATTGTGAGTACTACTTAAGAGTTGACTAGGCATCATCAAAATGGCCATCCTGCCAAAAGCAATATACAGATTACTGTATATTGCTGTATTGCAGCCAAAACCCTCATGTCTAAGAAAAATCAAAATGGAGGCATTACAATCCCAAACTTCAAGCTGTACTACAAAGCCATAATAATCAAAACTGCA